TGCTGAACTTGTTGCTTATCGTTACTGGGTAAGTTCTTACATTCATTTCTCTTTAGCAAGTAATTGTTCAAGAATTTAAGGTAGAATTTTACTAAATTTGCCGCCATTTGTCCTGTTTTTTCATTCGTTTCTGTGCATGTTAGGCGTTTTTTTGGTAATGTTCCGACAAATTTGGCAGTTTAGTTTTTCCAAGTTTTTTTTTCCTTGTAGAACATGGATTTTGGCATGAAATGATAATTTTTTACTGTTAAGTGCTTTGCAAAGAGTGGAGATCATCTTCAACCTTGCTGAATCATTATTTGTTTTCATCATAATCTTCAGTTACAAAGATCATTAAGCATTCTCAGTTGGGATATGTGGAAACCATTCACCTATTGTGATTTGGAAAGAGAACTGGTTGATTGATCATCCTCCGTGGAACTTCCACCAGTAGATTGTCTCATGAAGTGAGAATCTTCCTCGGGACATTTTTTCACCGTTTACTCTGTTCTGACTCATCTCATATCGTCTACAATTTTTATGCCCTTCACAGAATTACAACTGTCTCGGCTATGATGACAAGATCTTGGATGGATTTTACGACTTGTATGGAGTACTGAATGAATCCTCATCAGAAAGAATACCTTCCTTAGTTGACCTTCAGGGGACACCTGTTTCAGATGGTGTAACATGGGAAGCTGTTCTTGTTAACAGAAGTGGGGATGCTAATCTGTTGAGACTTGAACAGAAGGCTTTGGATATCGCTGCAAAATCGAAGTCAGTTTCTTCTTCTGGATTTGTGAACGGTGATTTGGTTAGGAGGCTAGCTATATTAGTTGCGGATTACATGGGTGGGCCAGTTATGGATCCAGATAGCATGTTAAGAGCTTGGAGGAGCCTCAGCTACAGCTTGAAAGCCACAATCGGTAGCATGGTTTTGCCTCTTGGCTCTCTGACAATTGGATTGGCTCGTCATCGTGCTTTGCTATTCAAAGTATGTGCTCTTGGGTTCTTGCTGTGTTTTCTTGCTCTATGAAAATATGGGATGAGATGGGTCTGGATTTATTTCATTAGATATACTTGCAACTCTGCTTGTTGGTCTGATACAAGTTTAGTTGAAACTGTGTGTAAAGGGTCTTACTTTGTTGCTTTATTTTTACTGCTTCCAAGTCTTATTTTAGCCACTGAATTTCTATATGTGCCTTGTTTCTTCTTTTGATGGGACTTTCTAGGTTTTATGTGATACAGTCGGGGTTCCTTGCCGCATAGTCAAAGGGCATCAATACACCGGTTCAGATGATGTGGCGATGAACTTCATTAAAACCGATGATGGCAGGTGATTTGATTCTAAATACGGATATTATATGTCTATGTATGTCATTATTTGTATGTCATTTGAGTGACATAACTTTTGTATGCTACACAAACACACTCATAGACTTACATATATTATCCGTTTTCTCGGTGTTGAGCCTTGGCATTACCAGCATATGACAACATGAATAAAGTGATACAAGATATGATGGTCTTTCAATAACTTTGGTTTTTTTATATACAGTATCTGAATTTTAGGTGTTGATTGTGTTTCTTGCAGATATTAGATTTCCGGGCTGCTTTCTAGTTTCTGTCTTTCTTTGCAAAAGTGTTTTTCCCTAAGGAATACGGGTTTTGCTTTCAGGGAGTACATTGTTGACCTAATGGCAGATCCGGGCACACTTATCCCTGCTGATGCTGCTGGATTGCATATAGAATATGACGACTTTGTCTTTTCTGCCATGGATCCATCTCATGTAGCTTCTTCCAGCAGTTGGGTTGTGAGCTCATTTGAAGAGCATGCAGAATTCGGATCAGGAGAACATCCTTCTAGGACCAAGAATTCAAGTCCCGGAAACCAATCTGATAGTGGAGGTCAGAATATTTCTAAGGAAGATGCAAGAGGTCATAAGAATGTTGAAAAGGCTCCAGTACAAGACCTGGCCAGTAGGCCAAGTCATTCTTTCGCCCATGCCCGATCACCTTCTTGGACCGAAGGTGTTAGCTCCCCTGCTGTACGAAAGATGAAAGTCAAAGATGTTTCGCAATATATGTTTGATGCTGCCAAAGAGAATCCACGACTAGCTCAGAAGCTCCATGATGTGTTACTCGAAAGCGGCGTTGTTGCTCCACCAAATTTATTTTCGGATATCTATTCAAAATCATCGGAGGCAACTGTTGAGATCAGATCTCCACCAACTGAAAACATGGATGAGAAAAAGCAAGATCTTGGAATGTCTCAGATTAGTCCTGTGCGGTATTTGCCTCCATTACCTCAACCTAGAGCTCAATCTAGAGCAAATGCAACTCATGATCAACCTGAACACTCGAGACTCGGTCCTAGCCGGGCTGATTCATCACAGTCTGAAGCTTCTTCTTCTACGGATTATGCCAGAAATGTTCCCGTTGCTGTAGCTGCAGCTGCAGTTGTTGCATCTTCTATGGTGGTTGCTGCCGCCAAGTCAGCAAGTCACGAATCCTCCGCCATTGAACTTCCTGCTGCAGCTGCTGCCACAGCCACTGCAGCTGCAGTTGTAGCCACGGCTGGCGG